CAAATAGACACAAAACAACTACAAAAACATGGGAAACAACTAAAGACACAAAACTACTACAAAGAGATGCAAAACAACCATTTAAGCATTTCAAAGTTTCTAAACCAACCCTTAGGTAAATAATCAAATAATGATATAACAGTATGACACTACACTAACACTACATGTAAACATTAACATGGGTGCTGGGTAAGGTTGAACCAGTATTACATCATTGCGATTTTGACCTAAACTGGGTCAATTTTCCACTCAGTAATTTTGGTGTAAATATTGGGCCTCTGCAGTGCACTGTATCGTAGCTGGTGGCGTAGTTCATTCCACAGTTACACTGTAGCCATTTTCATGCTCACTGAGTTGCAGCACAACGCCACAGAGTCTGTGATTGTATTCATTGTGTCCAACTGTCCAAATATGTTTCTACCATGCGTGTAGCACTCGCCAAGCTCTTTGGAGAAGAGTGAGTCCACAAGACCAAGAACACAATCTATTAGTCGTGTCCTGCTGCCACTGCACAAAAGCCAAAGTTGTTGCATAAGAAGACTGAAGGTGAAAAAGACAGGGGACATGTAGAGAAGGGCGCCATCCCCCTCATTTGCGCACTCAGAGCTTTTCAGGGAAAAGCCGTGGGCCCAGTGTGTTTTATTGCTAATGCCTCAGTGACTTCCAAGGGCACTTAAAGGACGTCAATCATTGAATTTGCACTCCACTTGCTCACTTCAGACCCAGCGGAGGCCTCAGAAATGGGAGGGAGAGCCCACGAGAGAATGTTGTTAGTGCCCTTCTCTGGGCTGATTTAGGCTGTTTTCTTTTTCAGCTCCTATTGAGCGTTGAGCAACGGCTAAACCAGCGAGACAAATGTGTGTTTACGCTTTTAAAAAAGAAAGTAGTAAAAGGGAGTGGGGGGAAAGAGCAATGTTCTTTTTTGTGTTCTTTGCAATCCAGGTCCTGGGTGGAGAAGTAGCCAAGAGGACATCAGATAAATCAGGTTACCCGTGGCAACAGCACTGTTAGGTCTGGGACTGGCTCTTGATCTTCTTCTTACTCATCTTCCTCCTCTACATCTCACCCAGCGCTTTGTGCTCACCTTTCTTACCTTCATGTGTTTTTCGTTCACAGTTCTCCTTTGTTTTTCACATCCTACCTTGAGCTTAGCAACTCTTTCAATCACCCAAACCATGCCTTCCTCTTCCTCCTTTACCTCTGTATCAAAGTGAAACAGATTCCTTGAACTCTGGGGTCATTCCTCCCCAGCAACAATGGGGCATTTGTTGGCCTCAACAGCTAAGACTTGAGGCCTGTTACCGAAGCCTGGATACAGTATAGAGCAAAAGAGTTATAGTGAGAGAAGAGGTGGGGGGGCAAGAATGTGGGAAAATGAAAGACCTGAGTGGTGGAAGTGGAAAAGAGGAGTAAGAGAGCTGTGAGAGCAACCTAACAAAACTTCAATTTTAAATAGGTAATCCAGCCAGTAGGTGAGCACATTCCCATTAATCTGACAGTGGGGATAACTTCCTCTGGGCTTATGGGTTATTACTTCCTCTGCCATTGCTGTAGCACTATTGTTTAGCCACAGTGTGAAGTCACACACACTGCAGCGCCAAAAGCCTGACCTCTGGTTTGGACAATGCTTGCTATTGTCTCTTGGTTTTGCCCATTCAATGCAGGAAGAGGAACAACTGGCATGTTAATGAACCTAATGGAACAAATATATTGTTAAATATTTGTAACAAGAGGTGTGAAGTTGTCACCTTCCAGGTTCAATTTATTGCACAACTTGTCAAGACGCAGTGTTCACATGCATCATGTCAATTCCCCTGAATTACCCTCAAAGTTCTATAAAAATGAACTGGAAATAGTGATGGGATCCTGGAAATTTGTAAAAGTTGGTTGGGTTATATTTCATGTGCATGTTGATTTCATAATTATTATTAATTTAATAATTGGAAATGACTGGTTAAAACAGTCATTGTCATTTATTATGTAAGTGCTCTATTACAAGATTTTAGGTGGTTGGAGGCTCAGGATGAAGGCTGGGGGTGGTGTGCTGGTAATGCAGAACTGGTAAACTGTTTTGATGCTTATCTATTTCATCTAAAGTAGACCTGTAGTAAATTGTCCTGATCCATATAAGACTCACATGTGGTCCATATTCTAGTACCTGAGCTGGCACCCAGTATGAGCATATAGCTCATGAATTCTTCAGCCCTCTTCTGGTTCATACCAGAACCACAGCATGCCTGACATAAAGCCGTTTAAGATGAACCTGCAGTAATTTCCTCTGGCCCTTATTTGGCCCAAACAAATTACCCATTTGGTAAAACTGATTTGGCCCAGAACTGGCACAGAACTTACCAGACACACAGCCCATGTAGGGTACGTGTATGGTATTGCCTTGATCTGGTACATATCTGGCTTATAAGATGCTTGAATTCAGGCCCATTCAAGATAAAGCTTTGGGTATTTCTTCTAGCCCCGATTTGGCCCAGGCCTAGCCCACAACATGCAAGACAAATGACCCATGAAGGGTAAGCATATGGCATGGCCCCAGTCTGGCACAAATCTGGCCCAAAATATGCTTGAAATTTGGCTGATTCAAGGTGAAGCTCTGGTAAATTCCTCTATCCCCAATTTGGCCCAGAACTGGCACAGAACTTACCAGACACACAGCCCATGTAGGGTAAGTGTATGGTATTGCCTTGATCTGGTACACATCTGGCTTATAAGATGCTTGAATTCAGGCCCATTCAAGGTAAAGCTTTGGCAATTCCCTCTAGCCTCGATTTGGCCCAGGCCTGGCCCACAACATGTCAGACAAATTACTCATGTAGGGTAAGCATATGGCATGGCCCCAGTCTGGCACACATCTGGCCCAAAATATGCTTGAAATTTGGCTGATTCAAGGAGAAGCTTTAGTAAATTCCTCTATCCCCGATTTGGCCCAGAACTGGCACAGAACTTACCAGACATACAGTCCATATAGGGTAAGTGTATGGTATTGCCTTGATCTGGTACACATCTGGCTTATAAGATTAAATTCAGGCCCATTCAAGGTAAAGCTTTGGCTATCTCCTCTAGCCACGATTTGGCCCAGAACTGGCCCACAACATGCCAGACATAAGGCCCATGTAGGATAACTGTTTGGTATGGCTGTGATCTGGCACACATCTGGCCCATTAGATGCCTGACATCTGGCCCATATAAGGTGTGGTTAATTCCCCTGGGACCGATTTGGCCCATAACTGGCACACAACATGCCAGATGCATGGCCCATACAAGGTCAGCGAATGATAGATGTCTTTGCCCAGATTCGGTCTCCAACACACCTGACATCCATATGAGATGGAGCTTAGCTAAGTTTAGGCAGCCACACTTACCCTGCAGTCAACACCATCATTAAAGGCCAAGTGTGGGCCATAATAGAACTGTAGATGTGGGCCACAGATTTATTGCCATCTGGAACACAATTTTACAATCTGACTGAAGATGTGTCAACACAGGATGGACTGATGGCATTATAACAACACCCACAGTTTCATAATGTGGTCTTGTCATCTTTCTTCCATTCAGAGAGTTATGGAGAAGCCTCAGTTTCCTCCAGCACTCCCTCTTCCAGCCCCTCTGAGGTGCTGAACTAAAGGTGAGCCTGGCTGGATTCACTCTGTGGTTTCTACATCCTGGATGGCACAGATGACGGTCTCTCCGGCAGTGATGAATTATTGATCAACTCCATCAGATCACCTGCCGGCTATCTAAAGGCCAAGAAAAGTTTTCAACAGGAAGGCTTAAAGTTTGTACGTCCTACAGCTGAGGTTTACACATTTAATCTGTCCATTTTTATCCAGCAGTTTAGCTCACACGTTGCTAGCAACGGAGAGGCCATGAATCTGCTCTGAGGCAGTGACTGGTGATATGTGGTGAAAGCACAGCTGGGAGTTTAGTCTACTTTGTACATTGACAGGAACCTGAGTTACAGCATCAATCTGGGTCAGTGGGTAGACTGTAACTGTGTATACTGTATGCACACACACACCATTTCTAAACTGAAAAAGAAGGGTAAAACTAGAGAATATTTAGGGTCAAATTCATAAGTGACTCTGGAGAAAACTGAAATACAAATTCACTGTTGATAGCTTTCTTGATTGTTTATTCTTGGTGAGTTCTGGCAGTATAGGAGGAAAAAGAATGGAAACTATTTAAACCTCTTGAACACTCATTTTCCTTACTTTCCATCTTAAGTATAGTGTTATATCATTTTTTAACTGTAGCCTATGATCACTTTAAAGTCTATATTTTTCCCCAGTAAACTCTATTAGGCATGATGCTGCTGATATTAGGGTAAATATTCAAACTACAGACGCGATGTTTGCTATGGCTCTAAAAGAGAATCCACTGGTTCAACTTTTTAAAAAAAAAAATGAAGGTGACAATTTGCATGCATCTTTTTGAGTAGTAACTGTCCTTATAGAATAAATCTGATGGGTGTTTTATAATCTGACAAACTCAGTTAGTTTAGTTCAACCGACATGATTGATGAAGTTGAGTAAACTTAATATTTATCCAAAAGTTGTGTTGATATTTAGTGGTCAGACTATTTCCTTTAAGATAGTCGTATTTATTTTTTATTTAATTCCACTGAAAAATGTCAAAAATGTTTTTGATTCTGACCAACTTCTTGAAATCAGTTGTCAACTGACTAAAAAACACATTAATGAAACAAACTCAGTATTTTTATGCTGAAAAAATGTCTTTAAATGTTATCCACTAACCCCATGAATCATTTTTTAGAGTGTATTAAAAATGATTACTGGCCATATGCAGCTGTAAGTGAAGATACATTTACAGCAGTAGGTACAGAATTAATTAATTTAAAAGAGTGGGGTGAGTGCGTAATGATGGAGCCACTGGAGAGTCTGGCACAGCTGTAAAGGTTAGAAATTGATAAAGAGAAGTGTTAAGTAGAAAGACAACCTGTTGCTTTGTTGGAAGCAGAGGGAACATTTCCCAGCAGCTACTCCCCGCGACCACAGGGCATTGCAACTCCATGCATCAGCAGGCAGGATAATTACACACCCACTTCACACCATCACCCACATCTCGGATGCCCATCCCCAACTGAAGACCCCCGGCGCACAACTCAGGAGCGACGCGGACTTTTTGCATCACTTAAAGACACATTCGTGGAGGTGTACGGTTTGCAAAGCAGGAGAGGAATACAGGAGTTTAAGTTTATTTAAAGAAGGAGACTTTTTTTTTTGCAAACGATGGCCAACTCCGGTATTCAGCTGTTGGGATTTTTCCTGTCGTTAATTGGCATCATTGGACTGATCATCGGGACTATCCTGCCGCAGTGGAAGATGTCAGCGTACATCGGGGACAACATCATCACAGCGGTGGCCATGTACCAAGGACTGTGGATGTCATGCGCTTTCCAAAGTACCGGACAGCTCCAGTGTAAAATCTACGACTCCATCCTGCAGCTCGACAGTAAGTTCTCTCTGACTAACCTGTCAATCATCTCTGGGTTTAATGCAACAGGTTGGACTGTGCTGTCGATCTTCACACAGTCTCTTTCTTTATACCTCCCCACCTGGAGACCCACCTGTTGCATCTGAGCACCTCCTCCACCTGAGGGAGACCTCAATGGACCACACTGTTATCACTCATTAACTCTGCCACCTCAGGTTATAACCTGCTCATCACACCGTAATTACTCACCACACTCTATACAGCAGCCACAGTGCACTGTTACCTGTCACTACAGTGGGATACTGTCTTCTTCATAAGTCACTGATTCCAGGGGGAAAAAAAGTCTGAAAGATAAATCTCTATTCCTAAAAGCATTCCATAAAATCCTCACCCACACATTGTCACATTCTGGGAAACTCTCCCACCCCACCTCCTCACATTTCCCATGCACTCACACTTCAACACACATAAACAGTAGATGATATCTTATCACATTTCAAGAGCTGATTCTGTGATCCATCTGTAAGAAAGACAGTCCTTTGCATAAGCATATGCGCTCAGAGTTGTATCTTTTGTCACAACTCTGTATCTTGTTTTCCCAGTGTATCCCAAGATCTGGGTACTTGAGAACTTTTGCCACCATGAAATAGAAACTACATTGCATACCCTGCAACAGTTGCTTACTACTTAAGAAGTTGCCAAAATAAATAGTTTCAGACCCATAATGTAAGAAGGGTGACCGTGGTAACTCCACTGTGCAGCACAGGCATCTGAACAACCTACTGTACATCACCCAACATACAAGCTCACAATGGCTTTAGAACTTTTCCCATACAGAAACGCATACTATTTGCATGCATAACAAACCAGGAGGTCTTCATTTAATACCCAGGGATTGTTGTTAATAGCCCCCCTCCTTCAGAGATAACTTCAATAATCCTGCAGACATTTGGCCTTGTTTGATGACATTAAATAAATAGTGGCTTGGCTTTAAAGCCAATTACAACCCATCTCTTGTAATGGACAGACATTCTTACTGCCTTTGCTAACTTTGACTGAAAACTGAGAATGTTTTGCTGATTTATATCATACACCTTTTTAAAATCTATTTTCTTTTGTTTAAAGATCTACTTTGCATTCTACTTGCAGTCTAAACAGGAGGTTTAATACTGAGCCGGATTACTAACCAAGAATATCTGGCAGCCAGTTTTGGGCTTCACAACCTCAGGGGCCCCAAAGGCCCTATTTTCATCAGTCTGTGATAATATGATTCTGCACATTTGTTTTGCAAGGAGCTGGAGTTAGAATAACATCACTAAAGAACAAATACTAGTTGAAATAATAAGCGCCTCAGGCGGGGTCTGTCTTGCATTATTACCTATCTTATTCATCTGTTTTTTTAAAAGTACCTATTTAAAAAAATATGCAGGTTACTGAATAAATGTGGGTTTTACAAACACATTAATGGGAACTCACTGCCCATTTTCACCTTGGTTCTCCTAGTGGACTGTAGCATTATGGAGCACCTAAGGAATTATGATTCCACAGCTTCCAATTATGTTACTCTGTAGTTTTACATGCATAATGTTGACACACGTTTGTCATACAATGTTGTAGCAGTGTGACATTTACTTGAGAAAAGCTACAGTCGATGTGCAGAATTAGAATTATATGTTCTGTATCCACAGACTATAAAAAAATGGACATAGCCAACGTGATGTCACTCACTGGTTTGTGGACTCTCATTTTGAAGCTTCAAGTTGGCATTTTGGCCATCGCCATCTTGGATTTTTAGAGCCAGATGTTGCCATAATTGGACAAGAGGGTGGAGCTAACCCTAACACCAGCAGCTTGCTTGGTTAGCATGGTGCATTTACAGCTATGGATAACTGTACTAATGCTAATGCTAATTTTCACTAATGAAAACCAGGCTTAAAACCATTAAAATAATATGTATTTACCGGAATAAAAAAATCTGACTCCTTAGAGGGATTTACAGTACAACCAAACGCTGGCCAAGATTCTTTTAGGTGAGGTAATTTTAATGAACTGACAACCCATTGAAATACCAACAGCTATGGCTATGCCTATACTCTGAATCCTGGGTGACGCCATGGTTACGTTACCTAATCAGCATTGTCACCGTAGTAGTAACTTGGCAAAGATGGCATCCACCTGTTACTCAAAGAAGCCATGGCCTTAGTCATGTGTAACTTGAAGCCAGTTAAAGCCAGGCAAGCCCCCCATACAGTTGTCATGAATGTGGAAATTAGCCATGGAGACCAAAACTGTTTTCTGTACCAGGCTGTTAACATGATCATTTCTGCTGTAAAGATGGGCATTTTAACATGGGAACCCAGATAGCCATTGGACTTGACTCACTTGCGGTCAAGTGCTGGCTGACTCAGCTTTGTTATTTGTAATTGTGCCAAATGCGAGCCAGCATTGGCCTGTTTACTTTTGTGAACTCTAGCCCAGTTTAGCTTTTACAGACACAGGCCTTTTTTGGCTGAGACATGGCAGCTGTAAGAGACAGCGGCCAGCACCAAAATGTGGTCTGGCCTGTTCATGGTTGCCAAATCTCAGCCTGACTTAACATTGTAGACACGGGCCTATCCTGGCTGACACATAGCTGCCAAAATCAGGCCAGTTTATATGGCATATTGAAACCTTGAAGCCACCCTCAAGTGGTCATTAGAGGAACTGCAGTTTTTAGGACTTGTGTGTTGGCCTCATTTTTCAGCCCCAGAGGTTGCCGCTTGTATGTATCCTATGATAAAGTTGTACTGGACACTGAAAAGATCACGATGGCTAATGTATTTTTGTATTATAACACAGATAACATGATAACCAGTATCTTTTTCTCTACACTGAATGGCAGCAGATGTGCCACATTAGTGAAGCCACTGCAAAGCTGCCAGACACAGCTCAGTAGCAATAATGACAGCAGTGTGATGTAACTCAAAGCTAGGATACTGTGCATCCTGCTCTCTATCTGCATTTACTCTATAATCCACCCTATTGTTCCCCATGTCTTGCTATTTTATAGAGATACCGCCCCTACTCTCCCTCTTCTCTACATCCTCCCCTGTATCTCTCTACCCATCCCTTCCTTGCTGCTCAAAGGTTTTGTTTGTTTGGGCAGGGCAGGGATGGCCTAGACTGGCACAGACTGGTTCTAGGTGGACAGAGTGGGAGAAACAAAGGGGGGACTCACCCTGTGATAGGTTTATAGGGTGAGGAGAGGGGGGGCTCTGACAGATGAGGATCCTAACAGTAGCGTTTCAGCAGGCCTCCACCTCTTTAACAGCAGCAGATGGGAGGGGGGCAGTGAAAATGAAAGAGTGTGAGATGTGGCTTGTCTGTCCGTGTGTGCCGGTGTGTGTTCATGTGTATCCCATGGTTTCTCTTCCAGGAAAAGCTCACATTCAAATGTCCTGACAGGCTAATGTGAGTGTAATTCACAACCTCTGGACACACACATAAAGACTCTCCGATAGGTCGAGGCCTGTTTATTGGTCTTTCCTCATCATTTACCAGTTTGTGCTTTTAGATGTGACTTTATATGATCTTTTATGTTGTTTTTTTAAACAACAATCCCAAATCCTACAAAACAGAAGACACTCCTCATACATAATGAACATTTCCCTTCTCTCTATCCGTCCCAGGTTCGCTTCAAGCCACTCGTGCCTTGATGATAGTTGGGATCATTGTGTCCATCGCAGGTCTGGGTGTGGCCTGTATGGGAATGAAATGCACCACCTGTGGAGGGAGCGACAAACTGCGCAAGTCCCGCGTTGCCATGACAGGAGGCATCATCCTGCTAGTGGGAGGTGAGGATACCATACAGTGTGGATGACAGTCAGTATGAGTTAAATTTGGTTACGTACAGATGGATGGCATATTAAAGGGGAACCCAACATAAAGGTGTTGTTCCAGCTGCAAGAACAGCTTCTGTGTGTGGAACGCTGCCAAGAGGCTGCTTAACACATCAGTCCAAAATTTCTTGGTACTCAATTGGGTTGAGACCAGGTGACTGCAAAGGCCATAGCATCTGAATCACATGATTTTCGCGCTGCCTTTGTGTGTGTGTGTGTGTGTGTGTGTATGTTAATAAATGAATGTCACTAGTAACAAAAAACGCTTGCTGCACCTTTTCATCATTGCCAGGCTGCCACCTCATCACCTCCGTACACTAACTATCCCGTGTAACCAATCTACTGTTTATTTTTATTTTCATTTATTCCACAGTAATTAGTATCTAGTTCCTAAAATGGACAGACAAAGGGAGATAGCTATAGCTCTGGTTGAGGGTGAGAGGCTGTCAGCAAATAGTATGTTGGGCACAGGGAAACGGAGATCTGTGTGGGTACGTGAAAAAAGAGGGTGGATCACAGGGAGAACCACCAGTTGGTCCAGGAGCTTCACCTCCTCAATGGCTGTTTGAAGCACTGCACTTTTGTATGCTTCCACACCTGCTGTTTCCTACTGAGATCCTGGTTACTGTGGTTTGTAAAGTTGTTAAGCTCTGGGTATCCAGCAACCACTACCACCAGTTTCTCCTCTATTGTTTGCCAACCATAAACTTCCTGTCGTGAACACCACAGAGAGCCCACCGCTCAAATCATCCGGTTGGACATTGGGAAAAAAGCGGAGATGACTTTTTTGTGCTGAGACATTTTTTCGTCTCGACAAGTTCAGAGCGCTCCGGCAAAAACACCAGAGGGGTTTATTCATATATCATTTATAGCCTGATTTATACAGAATTTTACTCATGAAAACATGTGAAAATGGATTTGTATGGCTGTTAACAGTAGTTTCAGATTTATGGAGTTATAAAAAGAGATATCCAAAATCCCCTCTGTAAAAAACAGTGACTCACAAAACACCCCACAAACTTATTGTGAACTTACTGGTGTCGCAGGAGAAGTTAGGGGGTTCACCAAATTCTTCAGGTTACATCAACTGTGACTCATGTCAATTCAAAATGTTTCACCGATTCAACTTGTGGAGATATTTCATTCAATAAGTAAAAACTTACAAACGCTGTTTCAGGGGTTCACCTCAGTCAGGAGGATTCATTTTCTGGGCACCATGGATATCTGATCCAAATGTCATGGCAATCCATCGCACTCTTTGTTATGATATTTCAGCGTGTACCAAAGTGATAGACTGACTGACAGACTGCCAGTGCCATCCCTAGAACCACACCACCAGTTGCACACTGAAGGGAACACCAGAGGGGCCTATGGCCACCCTGATACAATTTCTGCCTACCCCCCCCCCCACTGGCCCACCGATGAAAATAAATGGGCGTCAGACCCTTAAGGTGTCATTACTAATTTTGTAGCTAGCCCGAAGGTAGTGGTATCTCGTGAAAGACAACCTAAAGCATCCACTGGCACCAACCATGTTGGCCAAGCTTATAAGGAAGGGGGCAAAATAACGCTCCAAACTTAGGCAAAACTTCCCCAAGGGAACAACTAGCATGGCTTTTTTTCCAGTGTGTTCTCTTGGACGCTCGCCTTAAGATATGTGAATGAAAATGGGTTCCATAGGTACCAACAATTTGCTCCTAAACTTGGCTTGTTTTTAAAATATGTTTGGTTCCTTACAATCAATGTAATCAATTAGAACAGTTTATTTATCTTTTTAAGGACAACCAGTTTATCTGAAGAACAATGAATAACATGTATAGATACATTTATTAAATTCTGCTGTGGCTCTGGTGAATTTCCTCCTGCACAATATCACAATCTAAGGCCCTGCTGACTCATTGTTGACCCACTCTATGGCACCTATGCTAATTCATATTATTGTCTATGGGACCTATAATAATCAATACAGACCTTGTTACATAATATTTCATCAAAACCTACCCAAACTCACCTCATCATCACATTTTTTCTTTGATCCTGTGTACATCATAGAGCAGGTAGGAGGAAGTTTGATCCCTAGTCCAAAAAGCCTTCCTCCCACTCTCCTGCAGCAGCCCTCCAGAGGTCATTAGACTGAATGAGTCCAGAACTCCTGGCACTGATTCTAACATAAGAGGTCTAACTGGCTTGGAAGAGAACAGGAACACTAAAAGCTAATTGTGCTGGAGTCAATAGCTAGCCGCCTGGTGACTATAAAGAGGGTAAAAGCACGTCTACCCTCTCAGGTTTTGATGATGTGCTGATGGACTGATTGATCTTTGTTGTTGGCTTTCCCTCCTCTCAGGGCTGTGTGCCATCGTGGCGTGCTCCTGGTTTGCTCATAATGTGATCCGGGCATTCTATAATCCCTACACTCCAGTCAACACCAAGTAAGGAACCCCAGAAATACATTGTATTCAAGTACTGTCATTGAAAGAATACCCTGCCATGTTTCAGCTTTCTTGCCAACAGTTAGATGAGAACAGTGATTCCACTCTCATATTAGTAGTTAACATGAAGCCACAGCCGGGAGACAGTTAGCTTAGCTTAACTACCACTGTCCAAGGGTAACGCAATCTGCCAACCAGAATTTCTAATGCTCACTTATAAACACATTATATCTTAGTTTAAAAAAGCCAAGTGCAATTAGCCCACAACATGTTGTGGATTTAGCATTGGACTATCTCCTGGCCCACTGCAGTGACTTCCTGTTTCCAGTCATTATGCAATGCTAAGCTAAGTGGCCAGTAGCTGTAGGTTCATATCTAACACACTGATATGAGAGTGGTACTGATCTTATCCAGTGCTTGGCAAGAAAGTGAATATGTGCATTTGTTGAACGATTCCTTTATATATTATTTTTTACTATTCCTTTAAATATTATTTTTGAAGTATGGTTTCAATGTATGCAAATTTACACTGCTAATATTGCACTTTTTAGTCCATTTACTCCATCTTCTCCATTATATTTATAAAACAGCTATAGTCAGTATCTTTGTGTGCATTGGGATTTAATATATATTAAAATAATTATATTACGTGTTATAATGTGATGTATTTTTTTTAGGAATAACTACAAAAAAGTAGTTAAAATGAGTTCAACCTGAATCGGCAAATGCTGCTTACACATATATAAATGATTAATAAAAAACAAATAACATTGCAGTAATTTTGCCTGTTTGAGTGCTTTCACTATTGATACTTCAGTACATTTTTCTAATAATACTATGGGTGCAATTTTAATGCAGAAGTTTTATTAAACTTTATTAAACTGAATTCATTTGACATTGCTGTATGTCTTTTAAAATGGCACCATGTAACTTCTGATCAAAGAAATAACACACTCTTCTCCTTGCAAACTGAAAGTTAATCATAAGCAATAAAACCTTTAATTATTCAGTGCACTCGGGGGGTTTTGCTGCTACGGTCTTAATCAGTCTGGTATGACCAGAGGCTTATGGAAGCTATCTTACCTGATGTTATTACACTTTCGATAGATACTGCTATAGCAGACATCACCAGTCACTCTCCTCTTCTTGTGCTGCTCTTACAATTCAGCATTTACTTTATCCATAAATGCAGTAGTGGAAGAAGTACTCAGATCATATATTTAAGTAAAAATGGCAAAGTGGCAAGGCTTGCATTCAAAATACTACTCTAATAAACATACAAAGTACACATACTAATTATGCAGAATGGCCCATTTCAGAATCATTTATTATGCCACTGGAATATAACTAATGATACATTAATGTGTTTACCACCTTAATATTGTAGCTGGTAAAAGTGGACATCATTCTGATTACTCTATATACTGCTGGGGAGCTTATAGGTCCTGTATGCAACATTCAGAGCATTGATAAGACACCAGTGATCTCCTGTCCAAGCCTCTCTCTTCGCTGTCATGTTAGTTGGTCCGTCTACACGTGCATGTCAGTGCGTTTGAGTCCCTGTGTATGTATCCCCGTTGCTAGCTCATCAAAGCCACTCTGCACTGCACTCATATGGCATTAACTGCTAACAATGCCAAGCCATGGTGGTGGAAAAGCGTTATTGTGGAAGCATAGCACCCACCCTTCTGTTCCCCTGATGTCAACACTGTTAGCTCTGTTAGCTCTGTGTTGAGAGCCATATGCAGATGGTCCTAGCTCACACTAGACTAGAGCTCCTTTAATCTTTAATACTAATTAGAATTTATTAGTTGTTTTGTATTTTCACCTAATTATCTAAATCTGCAAAGTAACTAGTAACTGTGGTGATGAGATAGAAATGTTGTCTTTTTGTGAAATAGCAAAATGCAGAAATCAACTTTGCCAGAGGTTCACTTTGTCACTGTCACAATTATTGCTTAACACCATCTTGTGTGCTCCAGGTTTGAGTTTGGTGCTGCCATCTTCATCGCCTGGGGCGGCTCCCTCCTGGATGTCCTGGGTGGAGCCATGTTGGCCGCTTCCTGTCCACGAAAGAAACAGGTGTCCAAGTACCCGTCCATGGGTAGCTCCCGCTCTGGTCCACCAAGCAGCACGAAAGAATACGTGTGAGAGCGCCCCCCCACAGCTTGGGACTCCAACAGAAGCTGACAAAGAAGCCCTTCCCTCCTTTTTTTGCAGCACCAGCGAGGAGTAAAACTGAAGGTGTATGTGAAGTTGTGAATCATAGAGGCAAAGAATTACAGACTTTCTTTTCTTTTTCTTCAGGCAGACCTTTGATAACCCCTTGATCATCATGCAGCACTCTCAATTGTTTGATGAATGATGTCTCACACCCCGTCCACACATTCCACAATTGTTTACAAGTGATCTTCACAAATACATTATAATTGGATCCCCTGACTTAATGGACAAGCCCTCGGGGTGTAACCTCTTGAATTGTAGCCTAAATGGTGGATTATAGCCAACACTTGCACCTCTGTGTTAGAACCAGCATCTGTTAGCATTTGCCATGTAATTGAAAGTAATCAATTCCTGTTTCTAGGCTGCGACTCAGGGGCTCTGTACAACACAGACACAGGGTGACAATACAGTGTTTTATAAAAACCACTGGTGGTTCCAAAATAGATGTTACGATGAGCAGGGTGTGACTTCACACACAGGGCTCACTGTGTAGGGTGGCCATATCACACAGGCCTTTTACTACAACACTCGCTACAGGCACTGCAGCTCTTCATACTAGTCTGTTACAAACCCTGCTCAGATATGAAATATTTTATTGTGTAGTCACTGTGCCATTATCACTCTAATAGCTTCCATATCAGCCACTATGAGATTTAACTGCCTCTATTTATTTTGACAAATGTAGGATGAGGTTTTTGGCTCCTGTGTAGGTTTATATAACAGGTAGATCATTGTGGCCCAGCTCTAGCTTTCAGAGATTATAAATATTTTTATTAAGATGTTTTGTGCTCTGAACAGTGTCCGCTGTATTTTTAAATGCCATAGTTTTATACACTCGACTCATTTAGCACATAATGGTGTAATAAAAAAAATGTTAACATGTCCATTGATACTTAAATAATAAAGATATTACAACATTGTTAATGCTTTGGTAAAGTAGTAGCTGATTTTATAGTAGTTTTTTCCATTGACACAAACAATAAAACTGTATTTCCTTTTGCGAGACAACAGATGTTGCACATGACGCTGCATTCTCCAAACTCTCCATACACACAACAAGCTTAGACAAGAAAAACAAGAGCAACAAATCATTAAGAAAATATTTTTAAGTCGCCGTCCAGACAAGAATGTGTTTTGCTTATTTTTTACTTTCACTTCACTTTCTATTTCACTTGAATGTGGAAAGGTGAGCAGTGCCTGACCAACCACATTTGGAGCCCGAGGTAAGCTTCCCCTGACCTTCCATATCCTTTGGATGAGTGAAGTGCTTCAAGTGGCATCCACATGAATGCCAGGACCAAACACCGAAGCAGACCGAGTCCCCCTCTCATGGCAATAACACTCCTGGATGGCATTGGCCCCACAGCAGAACTTGCACCATGCCTCACAACAAACAATGCTCAGAAATGGCCCGAGGAGTGTGTCAAAGAGTGCAAGGAATCAACCTGGCCTCAAAATTCCCCAGATCCCAATCTGATAGAGCATCCGTGGGACGTGCCAGTACCCCACCTCACAACCGACAGGTCTTGAAGGATCGACTGCCAACGCCCTGAGCCAGACTCCAAAGCACACCCCCAGAGGTCCCGTGTCCATACCTTGACATGTCAGAGCCAAATCTAATCCAAGAAGGCCCCACCGTGGATCGGGGGTACCCCTGGAGTACTGGCACGTCCCACAAATACTCAGTCAGATCAGGATCTGGGGAATTTGGAGGCCAGGTCGATGCGTTGAGCTTTCTGTCATGTTCTTCGGGTCATTCCTGAGCAGCTTTCGCAGTGAGGCATGGTGCATTGCTCTGCTCGGGTGGCTACAGTCATCAAGGGGGGAAATTATATCGTGAAATTTTTCGACTCTATCTTGATACACGACATTCCTGCTATTTTTGAATCTCCTCAAAAGCACTTCATCCTGGTCACTTTCTGACCAAATACTCTCTTTGATGAGACAAAGTTATGGGATGACTAATGTTTTTGTTTTTTCCAGAAAATATTAACACAATGAGATTTTTTATCAATAATCATCAATAATGTGGGTATAACGAACTGAGTGGGTCAAGGCAAGCCTAAGACAAATTGAAAAGTCTGATAAGTTGATACATTTACATCTTTTTGCCTTTAAAATGAGGGGAAAAGCACCATTTATGCATTATATCACGATACAATATCCAAAATCAAAGATGATATATACAATCTCGTACCTCGATAACAGTATCTTCATATTGCCCATCCCTATTATATTTATATACACATATATGTAGGTACAGTGTCAGATGTAAACATTCATGGTGTCCTCCTCGGCTGAGGTGTAATGTTAGCTAGCTCAATGTTAGTTAGCTAGCAAGGTAAGCTAACAGATAAGTGTTAAATGGTTTAAGACCTACTTACATTTATATATATATATATATATATATATATATATATCTGTTAGCTTACCTAGCTAGCTAACATTGAGCTAGCTAACTTAGCTCAGCTGAGGAGGACACCATTAATGTTTACATCTCACGCTGTCACGAACATGAGTCTCTCATCTATGAATAGATACATGCTCTTTTGTGCGGTGAAATGGTTGGCAAGTGTAGTTCAGTGGAAAGAAAATAGTTCCCACATGAAACTGCTCACAACAAGGTCTGTGGATTATCTGTGTGACTGGGTCATGATTTCTGGAAAGAGACATTGCTGTTGAGTTTTTCAAATGTATTTTTTTCCGCATTTTGAGCACCACTGCAGATAAAAAAAAAAAACCTGGTATGTGTTTACATGTGACTGTGTAGTGTGGATGGAGCCGAAAAACAGAGAGCATTAAAGTTATTTAAATGAAAATGAGGTTTTAGAACACAAATGGCAACATGTGCATCAAACAGCAAATACTGATACAGATTCCACAAAGATATATCTTTTTATTTCCCGAGATGCATCATGAAAAGTAGACCATTTCCATGCAAATGGTAGCCACAACCCTGAACAACAATTTTTGAGTCAGAGCTGTGAAATGCAGTGCTTCCATGACGCAAAAAAAAAAAAAAAAGTGAACTAGTAACAATTTCACAGCTGACTAAGTAACGTGACATCAGCATGAGCCTCTACAGGCAATAGCATGTCATTTCAAGGTCCACTGCAATCTTTAAAAAAACCCAAATGACCCCCCCTCCCCTCCAAAAAAAAAAATTAATGTTGTCTCAGCATTGACAGCCAATCATAGAGTGACTTGTTTTCATGATCTCATCATGTAATTGTAAGGTAAACGTTGTCATTATCTTTAAATAGTTCACCTGAAAGCTGAAAGACTATGACGCAATCTGGGTGTAGCTTAACAAGCAGGTTACTGCTGTAAATATTTAGACAAAGAAAGTGCTGATTATTATGACTTGTCTGTGTGCCAATTCTCAGTCTGATATAGCGTCAAGTATCATTTGGCAATTGATTTAAAAGAATCATGTCTTTTATCACAGTTGTGTGGCCAACTGGGAGACCCCACCTTTGAAAACTAACAAAAGCCCCATAACTCTGTTGTTGTTTACGAGATATTACTGCTGAGTCCGCAGCACAAGCCAACAACGAGCTTAGGGAAATGTTGACTCTGCATGATCTAAAGAGCATAACGGTGGCGTGGTTTGAAATACTACTACATAGCCCTTAATAACAGAAAACCAGTTACGTGTTTTGATGCTTGAACAGACTCCATGCATAGAATTCTGCAACATGTCACTGCACATAACAGGCATTCCCACAAAGTGCACCATTTGGAAACATAATAAATCTCAGTTATAGATGACCGAAGCAATTTCCATTCAGAAACAAGTAAAAAACATGTAGAAGCCATAACAACACAAAGTGTTTCTTCTCATTTTTTTGAAACAATAAATAATTAGCAGTAGTTTTTTTCTGTAAATAGCGAGCTTTCATCCACTGGATATTAGTACACCACTTGCATCAGTGTGAGAGTAGAGAGTGATAGTCATTGCACGACCAAAGCTTAACATTTCACCTGTGTGTTACACATTTACAGGCGTGTGTTCCCTCACACAACCAACCCACAGACAATCAGGAACCCTCACCAGGAAAACAAGCCGGTGAAAGGCTGCTTTTCATCGAACCATTTGCTCAGTGCAACTTCAGTAATGTAGCCCTTGATATGAAGCTCTGGAAAATATAGAAACTTCCTCCAAATCTTTCTCAAGTCCTGATAATCTACTGCCTACCGAGGTATAGAGTAGAGAGCGCAATACAATTCATTCACAGTCTGACCAAAGGTAAGTTAAATAAACACTATGTACAATCAGGGCCTAGGCTTCAGCTGCCGCTAAATGAGCCGTTTTTTTGTGCCTGTTTGAGCCGTCAGAAGCTTCAGTAGAACACAAGACAGGATCAAGGCCAAGATCACTGACGGGGAGTTTTGGCGTCCTGGGGGATTTTTTTTAATGGCACATCTTGGTGAAGTTTAGGAGATGGGCGACAGGGATACAGGACACTGGCCGTTGTTGTTCATGATGTCATCCAAGTCTTCATCGTCCAAGTCCACTGAGGAGGAAAGGTCAAAGGTCAGGAATGCGTGCCTCAAAGTAAAGATGTCATTAATTAAAAAAAGTAGTTTACATCTATTTTGCCCATTTAGAACCATTAATTGAATCAGTTCACTTAATGGAATAGTGCAACATTTTGGAAAAGTTGCTCATTCACTTAGTCAGGCTAACTGTTTCCCCTCGTTTCCAGTCTTTATGCTAAGCTAAGCTAACAAGTAGCTTTATATTAAACAGTCAAATGCGTCAGTCGTAACAATTAACTCATCAAGAGGGGGAATGAGCAGCTTTCAAAAAATTTCAAACTGTTCCTTTAATATTTTACAACTTGCTATTCCTAATTAAGAGGTTGTAGTACTTGCAGATTACGTTACATGATACTTAAAGGAACATTTCACCCCAAAATGATCATCTGTATATCAGTTACTCATCCTGTGTTATGTTGAATTCATGATGAAAACATTTTTTGTTCGCATGCCTCCACGGTGAACAGAGAATCCAAAAACAAAGAAAATTCTTAATGAATTGAAGTAAATGGGGGCCGTGTTTAACAACTGTAAAAATATATTCAACTCAATTTTATTTATAAAGCCCAATATCACAAATAACAATTTGCCTCAGAGGGCTTTACAGCATACGACATCCCTTTGTCCTTTGGACCCTCACAGCGGATAAGGAAAAACTCCCCCAAAAAAACCCCTTTAACGGGGAAAAAAACATCAGTTTACAAACTCTCACACAACTCGTGCAGTATAATCCCAGTCCCATTTATCCAGTCAAATGCTCAGTACTTCCCAAACACATGCATTTTCGCTAAACCTGCAATATTTAATACACTTTCACATATATGAAGGGATGTTTTGATATAGTTTTGCTGTTGTTGAATGTGGACCCCATTTACTCCAATTTATCAAGTTTTTTTTTTTTAAATATTTGGATTATTTATTCACCGTGGAGGCATGCGAGAAAAACAACGTTTTCTTCACAATTTAACATAACATTGGGTGAATAACTGATATACAAATGGTCATTTTGGTGGAGAAGTCTTCCTTTAATATAACTGATCACAGCCTTGCTGATATTTAGGGCTGTGACTGTCAGTTCTGAAAGATCGACTTAATGTTAACAAAATACACTTGAAAAAAAAATTCCTATCAAAATGCATCTTCTAGCTTTCTGAGGATAAGAGAAGTATGGACACAATCAAAAGTTGAGTTACTGTTAAATTCTAAAAGTGGTTTTATTGCTCTCTAAATGATCATTCATCACTGCAGCCCTAATTGCACATGGAAAAAGTGAGTTTGTTTTTCTTAACCCCGTTTAAACATTTGCCTTACGTTAAGTTATCCCCTACATGAATATTCATTTTAGGAATAAGATTATTTTTCTTACATTCTCCATATTGGTA